TCATAAATTCAGGATAAAACCCTGTTGACAGTTGTTTTGCAAAAATTGTTTTGCCATAATATTTTAGTCACAAACAAAAAATGTTTCATTGAATTTTTTTTTACAACCAATATTCATACAATTAACGTTGGATATATATTAAAATGTATCAAAATGTATTGATATTACATTGATAATAATAATAATCAAATATTACAAAAAATGAGTCACCACCTAAATACATTATTAGATTAAAACTTAAATGCATCAAAATATGTGTCAATGCCAAAATCTATATCTATAAGTGGTTTCATCTTTAACTTTTGTTGATTTGATTCTTGTGCGTATAAACCTCATTCATTCATATAGGTCTATAAAAATTTCATATGCTTTGAAATTAAAAGCACACGAAAGACCATACATTTTCTTAAGTGTATAACCATACTTTAAGCTACCATAACCTATTTTATCTGTTCGTTTGACTTTGTGATAAATAAAATTCAATCTCGCTCGAGATGTATTATTCTTCAATTATGAATAAATATTATTGTATCTGAATATGTGTTCTAATATTGTAGTGTTGCAACCAAATTATGTATGCACTTCGTTATTCTAATTTTGAATCATTTGGTTCACGGAGTCCTAACCTCTACATAAATCACTTTTACTATTTCTTAACCAATTCTTCAATGTAGCATGAGCAAATTCAACTATGTTAGTTATTGTATTTTTAAAGTATCTAACTTATCAATCCAAGCACAAACAATTGTCTCCTTCACCTGGTCTAGAATTGTACTTTTAACATATTTCAAGAAATCTGGATATTTCTCACAAACCTTCCTGAAATGTATTACAGATTCAACATATAATTTTTTCGTGGAAGAACTTATTATAATTCTAGACTTCCATTGTGATTTCCTATATCACTTCAACTTTGACCATTTTCTCATATTCACACTTGATTTGTTTGGTCCCTAAAATGCTAAGAATCATAAATTACTTATGTTCTAATTGTTAAAAACTGTGAACTCTAACAAACTCCATACATGATTTTATTATAGAATAAACTCTAATTTACTTCATACATCTCTTTTACTCTCTTACTCAGTTGGACATTAGAGTCTTAACCTTACAGGTCAACCACCTCTCCACCGCATCAGAAGTTTATATCCACCATATAAAGATCTACTTCTACATTTATCGAATTGTAGTTCCCATTAAATTGGTTTCATTTAGCAAAACAATAACATGGAAAAAGTGTCCAAGTATTCAAGATTGGTCTACCTCGCTTAAGCTGTAAAAAGGAAACATGTTGGGCGCGATGCTCCAAAATGTTTGTACGACATCTGGGTTTTGCTTAACATGCGCCAGAATGATGTGTTTTGGAAGAATCTTTTGAGAAGTTTCAGTTCTTTTTTATTGCTAATAGAATTAGCAATTTGATTAGGTGATTTGTTTGACAGTTAGATGAAAATTTATTCATATTTAAATGAAGATTTAAATTTGAATTTAAATTTAAAAAAATCATATCTTATTTGAGATATTCAAGGAACAAATCAAATATCTAACAGATTTTGCATTAATTCTGGATGAAGTTAAAGATATTATCCAAGGAAAAAATCTCAGAATTAGTATTCTATATAAGAACCTCAAAACCTTCATTAGAACCCAAGTAATACATTGAACATTTAGAGTTCTAGGGTTTAGTTTTGAGTTATTATTATTGTTGTATGTACACCTATATGTTTCAGAAATTTGGCATAAAAGGTTTGTCTAGAGTTAAGTGGTAGTATTCAACATTGATTATTGAGTTGTAATCTCCAATCATGGGTTGTGTGATTGAGAAGAAAATGAGTAGGTTCTCATATTTAGAGGGAAGCTCTAAATAGAAAGTAATTGGGTGGTGTTAGGAATAAGCATTAAACAATATAGAGTTTGTCGTTGCTTGTAAGTCTAATTGTACTAAGCTACTAATAATGAATTTTCTTTCTTGGATTATGGACTCAACCCTCCCAGACGTATGTATGGTTTCACCGAACTTGGTAAAAAAAACTATCGTGTTATTTACAGCTTTTCTACTCTATCATCTAGTACTTGTCATTGTAGTGTTTCTGATTTAACTTGTTGAACCTGTTGTTGAAGCACCGAGTTCGGAATTTGTCCCATGAGGAACGGAATATCAATTGGCATCACGGTAGGCACCCTAGCCTATTGGGTGAGCTCTAGAGAAGATAAATTCGGCTCAAATGGAGATAATGAAAGATGGAGGATCACCCAACAAATCACCTGTCCATTTTAAAATAAAAGTTGAGGACTTTGTTATGTAGCACCCTTATCACATTCTATTATATTCCACAATATTTTATAAATAAAAGAAAAAATTATAGTGGGTTTAGGGTGTTACATAAAACACTAAGGCCATTTTAGTGAAATGAGAAGAAAGAGGGAAAGAGTATTAAAACATGTTATATGGTGTAATTTTAAAGTGAGGAGAGTCATCTATTTATAGGAGGGAAATTTGTCTAAAAAAAGCTATTCATGAACTTTTTAATGATCAAAATCGATCATGTCTATCACCTAATCGATTATGTGCTTCATAAAAAAGGAAGCCATAATATCGAAAAAGAAACCCTTATAATAGCTAGTCTCCTAATCAATTAAAAGTGTTCATAATGGATTAAGAAGCTTTAAACCTTACTCTATTCCATTGACTAAGGGTCTTAATCGATTAGGCAATGTATATAACCTCTTAATTGTTTAAGAACACCCTTAATCAATTCTATAAGCACCTTGGCGGTTTCTTTAAGGGTTTTAAGGTGTTTTATCCAATAGATATGTTAAAAACACTTTTAGTTGAGTGTGTGGATTGCCTTAATAGTTTAAGAATTACTCTAATATCTTTTATAAAACTTCGATCATTCAGAGACGAACCAGGTGAGATTTCACATTTTCTCTCTTTCACAAACTCTAAAGCTTCGAGTTTCCATGATAGATTAACCATGGATTTAACACTTGATTTGGGACTTGACTTTACTTCTATCTGATGACGCTTGATAATGCTTCTTGATAGATATCATCATCAGAGAGATTATTTGATCAAAGATATTTAACGACTCCACGGAACGCCGCTTGACATTAGGTGTTGTTCTTAAGAGATTGACTTTGACATCTTGATCTCCCAAGCATAACATCTTGATCATCACTTCAAATGAATACTCCACCTCATACTTTTGTCATCATCAAAATCATATAACTCAATTGATTTTTGCAGACATTATACATGCAAGCACATAGATTCACACTTAAAGTAGCTTTGGTGGCAACATCAGAGTGCACCATAATTACAGCCAATTTAACATAAGACAGTTTAATTCACCGTTAAAAAAATATGAATTTCAATTTTCAGAATATTTTAACAAAATCTCGATTTCAAACTCTAAACGCAACATTCATATTTCAGACAAAAGTAAATCAAATTTTTTCATCAATAATCAATGGAATACAAGCACGTTACATGTAACTCTAACTTCCTTTTCACTTTTTAATGTCAAAATACAATAGAATATTGTTTGCAAGTGAAACTCTTAAATGAAAATGGAAGGAGATTTTGGTAGAGTTTTTTCAATATTGATGTCATGATCATGAAGACACCCATACATGCAAGGTTATACAAAATTAGCTTTTCCACTTCTCAAATTTCAATCATCAATGGTGAGGGTTATATATCAAAAATTGAAATTCTAACATTTTTTTGATAAAAAATAAAGGTGTCTCTTAAGTACATATGAATTCCAATTTTCAAACACTATAAAATGACACTTTTTAATTTTGAGTTAAATGCATTTTTGGTCCCTATAGTTTAAACGTTTTAAATAATTGGTCCTCCTATTACAAAACCAACGATTCTAATCCTTAATTTTGATGGTCTTTGGATATGAAAATTATTTTTAGTTAACTGACAAGAATGATTAGGAAATTTTAATATTTAATAATATTTTTAACTAATTTAATATTTTTAATATATTTTTAAAGAATGAATTAATTTATGATTATTTATTTTAATTAAATATATTTATTATTTAAAAATATTTTTTTATATTAATTAATTTAAATTTTAAAAGAATTTAAAATTGGGCTTTTGACCTAAGCCTCGTTTAGAACAATTTCAAACTACAACAAGACAAGACAATATAAAGAGTTTATGTGAGGTATATAAAGACTAATACTATTCAAGCACGATGTGAGATTCTACAATGAGTTACAACATTAACTAGTAATAATATTTAATGTCTCTATGAAAGCTTTTGGTTACAACGTTGAACATATATTTCAATATTTCAATGAAATGGGTTTAGACACTGAATGCTTTTTTTTAAAATTTAATTAATCAATTTATTAAATACAATTTAAGTTATTAAATACTACTAAATAACAATTTAAATTATTAATTCTCTAAAAAAATATTAAATTAGTTAAAAATATTATTAAATATTATAATATCCTAATCATCCTTGTAAATCAATTAAAAATAATTCTTTTAATCATAATCATCATTGTCGTGTATGCAAAAATTCAAAGGTAATCAAAATTAAGAGATCGGAGATCAATTGTTTAAAACGCTGACACTAAGACCAAAAGTGCATTTAAAATTTTAATTTTCTATAAAGTGTATGATCAATGTACTAAAATATAGACCATTTTTCATTTAAATGGAATCCTTTGCTATCTAATAGAGGCATGAAAAAAAGAATGGTAAAATCTTTAAAAGGCTACACAATGAAAGATGCAAACAATTCAACTACTTTAAAAGTTAACTTAAACACCAATGTTTATGATTATGAGTAAAAAAATCCAATAAAACTTGAGAAACTCTGAATAACCCAAAAAAGGATAGAGGGTACATGATTTCATCCTACAACTATTATCCACTACCTCCTCCTCTTTGTAACACCACTTCACAATATCAAAAGTGTGTGTTAGCACAAAGACTAGCCAATCTATACATTTGCATGTTATAGCCATTAGCCTCTTTGTTTTCCATTTCTTCCATTGTGTTTTCCCATAAAACATTGCCAACAGAAACAACTCATGCAACAACTTGGTCTTCCACACTTAGGATAACAACAAGGCAATGAACATTTTGGACAACAGCAACTAGGCCTTGAGCATATTGTGCAGCATGATGACCCGAAACAATTTGTTAACTTCGGTAAGCGACAACACTTGAAGCAGCTTGGTTTACAGCAACAATCTGGACAGTTGATAGACAAGGAGAAATTTATGCAGCTGCAGCAGTCAGAGCATTTAGGTAGCTTGCATTTGAAGCTACAGCAACACTTAATTCCGCTGCATGCACATGCGGAACAGGCGTTTGATTTTGACTGTGAGTCCAGATTTTGTCGGATCTTTTTTAGGCGCTTTTCGGTTGTCATGTTCTCCATTTCTTGGATATATTTGCATAGGTGGAGTATGTAATCAGGGTAAAGCTCCAAGTTGCAGTGACCGCCTCCTTTAATCCATAATGGTTCGTACGACTCGCTTGCCATTTTCCATAGTCGGTTACCATGTAACCAATTGACCACGTCGTCTTCTGTACCCTGCAATAAACATAGTGTTGGAGAGATGAAAATGTAATGGCGTTGGTTAATCTATGTAGCGAACCTCATTTAATGGGAAAAAACTCGAACATGCTAGAGAAAGATCTCAAGGCTTAGCCATCATGGAATTAAAGCAGGACGATGAGAAACACTAAAACTAGAGAATCATTCATTATGCACAATAATTGCTATGCCTTCTACTTGCAATAAATGTCTAAAGAAACAACTAGAGGAAAAACAGTATAATTACAGTGCGCGCATCATTTACTTACATGTATTACAAGTACAGGACATTTGACCTTCTTTATTTTGTTGATATTCTGCATGGTTTCAAAAGGAAAAGAATCAGATCATATGAGATGATGAAACAGAATGTTATATTATATTTTTTAAGTATGTCAATCAAGTCTTTGTTAACTCAAATTCCAAATAATGACATCTTAAAAAACGAGTCTTCCTCAATGTCGTTAAAAATTCTATGAAGAGGTTAAGTTTAATTTCATTAAACAGCTTGATTCCTCTATTACCTTATAAATGTCAAAGCAAAAAGAGAATTTCACATGACAGAGAACTCGGAGACCAGAAAGAATGCCGCTGTGTAGAACCATGCCTCTCAGCCTAGGCAATTTAGCTGCCAAATGCAATGTTGGTCCACTTCCAACTGATTGCCCGTATAAGATCACGTCTTCCTGACTAACACCATATTTGGTTTCAAGGCATTCGTATATCGCCTCTATGTCCGCATATGTGCTGGATTCACTAGGCTGTATAGTTTCAGAGAATTAGTATTGCATACAAGAAACACAACACTCATTGAATTCATGATAAAGAAAACTAATGTATAGTTTTAACTAAACATGTTCATAACACAAAATTGCTACCGTAAATTACAATAATTGCATTGTGTGTATGTGTCGATGACTAAGTGTGCTTGTATTCGTGTGTGTTCCATCATTATATTGTAACCGACCTAATGATTATTGTTTTTGCAAAAGAATACACTACCTTGCCGGTCGAGGCTCCGTATCCAGAGTAGTCATATCTGCAAATAAAATGTTGCAGAAACAAATCAACTTTTCAGCTTTAATCTAGAAATGTTAGCACCTCAAATGGTTGAAGTACCAAAATATTTCATTCTTCCTAGGTTACATCAATATTCATAATTGTTTCAATCATGTCCTTGTTAAGGGCTTATATTTGAATCAAATTTGTAGTGGTAGAGTCCAATGTAGTCAAGCACGAGATCTTAATTAGGATCGATCGGCTCGTGAAAGATCATAAAACTCTGATCGTCAGCAAGGCACGTAAGATTCTACCGAAGGGAAAAATGGTAATTTCATATATTTTATACACACACTTACACAAACAAGAAAATTAGAATTCAGGCCCCAGAAAAGGTCCAATGCGTTTCTTTACGATTTTGCTTCAAAAAGCTCGACCTTGACTACACCGGCGACGAAAATAATCTTTCTCTAATCATAGCACTATGATCCAGCACTCGATTGGTAAACTAAATTGATGTAACCCCAACCATTTATGAACCAATATACAAGCTCTACTGTCTAGAATTAATTATGCCTCTTTCAAAAGTGGAAACAAACATTACATTTATTATTTTCTTCAATTCAATTTCTTTGAAAGAAAAACAACATTGGCAAGTAGTAGGGGTAAAAAATTTAAAAACTTTCAAAGAATAGCAAGGGCTCCAGCACCACAAAACACCAAGAAACTCTATGCTATGACCACATCCATGTAGGGGTAAAAACTGGAAAACATTAAACTAAGGAGAAAGAAATTAAGAAAGTGAAACAAAGTACAAAGAAAGTTGATTAGAAAATTGCTACAAACTACCAAGAAGAAAATTTTAGCTCAACAGAATCTAAACATAGGGGATATCTTTATCAATGTCTCAGAATCCATAAATACAAGTTACTTTTTTCCATTTCCTTTCCTTTTCACTTTCACTTTTTTTCCATTATTTGTTGGTTTGTTTGTAGAAGACACGTTCTGGTGTCAAAAGCCTCAACTTCATTTACTTTCCACTTACTAAATTGATGAAAAGAAACTGTAAAATAGTAAGGCATTGACATTAACATTATGTGATACTATAGTAATTTACAGTTTCACCACCAGATCTAAAGTATACACATACACATGAAGATAAGTCAATAAAATGTAAACTAAAGCATTGATAAATTTAATAATCTCAGATCTATATACTAAACAAAACCCACTATGACTCAATAAACTATATTTCTGTTGCCTAATTAGTAAGAGAAAGAGTAAAATAAGCCAAGATAATACAAAACAAAACAAGGGTCAGTGTTAACGTGGGAGACATTGAATAGAGTGAAGAAATATGAACAGACAAAAAAGACAAAAACATCAAACACACAAAACAAAAACTCATGTAGCAACTAAAAAAACAGAAGATGAACAAGTGAACAAGGTAAAACAAATTCATGTTTTTCTGTCATGATTAATACTAACCCCATGAGATTAACTCTAAGATTAACTTTGAGTTGAACAAAGAGATCATAAAGTTGACCCAAATCAGCAGCATTGCCATGAGAGTAAAGCAGAGTTAACCGTGCATAAGGGTTCTTAAGATAAAAAGCAACTATCTTATTTCCACGTTTTGTGTCAACAAGAAGAACATCCAATGAGTTATCATCAGGATGAGGAATCGGAGACGCCGTGGAAACCACCGTGAGCTTGCCGTCGTCACGGGTTTTGAGCTGATAAGTCGGTGGCGAAGGTGGAAAAAAAGCAAACTTTGAAGCTAACTGAGACACCATGCACCCCATTCACCAACCAACACAAAATCAAACTCATTTGTTGCTTAAAATGATTCTGAGTTCATTTCAAACATGCCCATTTCATCTTTACACTGTAATAATTTCTGGGCACCCTTCAAGTTTGAAACTTTTTTGTTATTGTAATGAAGCTACTGAAGTTGCAGCTTATAGTGATGATAAAAATATGAGTTTTTTTCAGCCCCACAAGAAATTTGCAGAGTTTTTCAGAGAGAAAGAGAGAGAGAGGTGTTAATGTTGTAGCAGGTGCTAGTTATGGAAGTATGAAAGTGTAGTACATTGAGATGTGGAGTGTAGTGTTGGCAAGAGAGAGTGAAGTTGAAATAGAAAACAATTGAAGGACAAAGATTTAATTTTTTTAAATATTTTTTCTTACTTAAGATGAAAATAAAAAATTGGTTTTATTACATTTATTTGCATGACTTCATAGTTGTCAGCTATACATAGAAACAGGTCTTATTATATTTCTTCTAACTGACATTTTTTATTGGAAAATGAATGATTTTTGATATTTCTGCACAACTATCGAGTATTAGTGAGATAGTCTATTGAACATAGATGACATATTCGTTGTCATTATATTATAGTCAGATGTTTCTACACAACTATCAACTGAAATAATCGATAACTGATAAGGATTCATGCGTGATAACTGATAAGGATTCATGCGTGTGCAACTTGAAGGATCTGGCTACAACAGTAATAAAGTAAATAACCTTTTATCGAATAAGGCCAATTACATAGTTTACCCTTCTTTAAGATAGCGTGCTGCAGCATTCAAAGTTTTTTTTTTTCAGTGTTCATGGCATTAGCATTAACACTAGCACTATTAGCATGAGAATCTAACAGTAGCAACAAATAATTAAGATTTGATTTAAGAGTCTTTATTTCTAACAAGTCCTTAATGTCAATTTTGATGGCTCTTTGTGATCAATTATCAATGAGATCAGAGACATAATCATGCTTTTGGAGAATAATTCTTGATCAAAAGAATAAAGTTGTGCGGATAATGCGTTTGTAAGGAAGAAAAAGCAATAGTTTCATTATTAATAAAGACAAAATTTTCATCCAGGTGATGATAATTAAGTGAAATAAGACTACTTGGAGTTTCTATTATCTTAACTTTTTACTATTTCTCTTACTTATATACCAACAGGGAAAAATTATGATTTTGTAAAATATAATATTTGAAAGGAAATTGAAAGTGACACAATGGACAATGACTAGCAATGGAGGTGTTGTTGTTATTAATATTATTATTCTTATTATGTTCAAATCAATTCTCTCGTCAAAAAATGATCATATTAGTCCATGTACTTTTTTTTTGGTTTGAAATTGCTTACTCATTTGTTTTATAGATTTGAAACTCATTTTTTTAAAATCTATTTTTTATATATTTAATATATTAAATTATTAGTATTTTAAAAGAACAATATTGAAATAAAATAATTTTTATAAGATTGAGATTTAATTTTGTCTTAAAAAATTTATTATTTCAAAAGCTACACAACTTTCATAAAATATATTTAGAAGTCTAATTCAAAAATTATTTGATTAAAGTTTAACTTTGTCTTAAATATTCACAACTTACTATAAATTTGTATGTACCTTACAAATTTAATGAAATAGTATATTAAAAATTATTAGAAATTAATACATTCATATTACATAATGAATATTATACCATTTATAATCTTCATTACACATGTTATTTTAGCAAATTTCGTTACGTATTTAATAAGGATGATTATAAATACAACTATCAGTTCTAGTGTCATAACTAGTACGAAGAGACAATCTATAAAATGCGAGATAATATTTTTTTAAATCAATTAAATTAATATATATCAATGCCAACACAAAATGATCATTGCACGCTATGTTACACCACCATGATTTCCATCAATAATATATCACAAAAAGATTACATGATTAAAATAATAAAAAAGATTTTCTTATATATAAATCAAGAATAAAAATAAAGAATTTACCTATCTATCATTACGGGAATAATGTAATTTTTATAGGCACATGTTCCACTCATTAACAAAATGAAGAAGTTAATTTTAATAAATTATCAATGTTATTTTTGAAAGCTTATATTATATTTAGTAATCAAGAGAGAGTATGTTATCTTAGGTTTGTTCTTAATCCCATGCAAAACTCGAAGTCGACCACCACCACAAATTAAAGCTTCGATAATAGATGGATTCAATAATAGGTGGATGTATAGTAGCTCGAAATGAATCAATAACTCTCCCTCAAGCGTTAGAAGGTTGACTCTGAAAAGCAAGAACATCTACTTCCATAGGAACAACACTCTATATATTTCACTATTCAATTTCCACCATGTTGAACAAGTTTGGTTCTATATCTACGATCCTTAAGTTTTGATAATAATAAAGTATACAGAACAATTTTATACATTAATAGTTTTATTAAGTGTGCAGAATCTTAAAGATAAGGAAAGAAGATTCTAGACTCTGGACTCTATACTTCAACAAATTCTAAAACAAGGTTGAAATATGAAAAAAAGTTTAACTCATAATCAACCATCTAGATAACTAAGTCAATGCCTCTAGAACAAACAATCCAGATTTATTCTAATAACCCAAGCCTCATTTTCACTAGACTCCAAAGTTTTATCTTCAAGACTCTGAACTCTGATCAAGCTTCAAATCATCTCAAATATGAAGCCAATGATTTAGAGAATAATGTTGAAAGAATATTCTTGGAATTAGTACATCCAAGCAGTAAAATCGATTTTCTTAAAAGAAAAATATGATGAGTTTATTAAGGTTTGTACTACCCACGAATCTCCACAATACATGGCTCAACCTCGTACTATTATTACAGTTGTGAAATTGAAGAATTTCAAATTTATCCTCCAACAGTACTATTTGTAACACCCATTTTAATTATTTAGTCTTTTGGTGTTATTTTATTTTGGTGTGCCCTTAGGTGGGGGTGTGTTTGAGTGTGCTGGTGGGTATCCTTGATTTATAGGGATTATTTAATAAAATGTAGAGTTGGTGCAATAGTATAAATAATATTGGTGGTAATTTAATTAATAGTAATATTATTATTATTATTATTATTATTATTATTATTAGTATTATTAGTATTATTGGTGATATATTATTATTATTATTATTATTATTATTATTATTATTATTATTATTATTATTGGGGTTAAATATAATAAGAAGTTGAGGAGATATTGGGGAAGTTAGGGAGAAAAGAGGAAACACGATAGAATTAGTGAGAGAAAGAAATTGGGAAGAACCGTGAGAAGAAGAACAAGGAGGAAGAAGCTGTCAGACTCTTGGGTGGTTCTTCGTCAATCAGAGTAACAATCGAGATAAGGGGGAGAAACTAATTGGAATTGGTAAATTGCATGAATTGGGTAGAGGAGATTCCTTAACCCCGTAGGGATTTGATGAGTATGAGTTTTATATTGGCATGCTCATTGTTGTTGTTGATATTGTTGAATTGGTGTATGCTAGTGATGAATTTTGGTGCATATGTTATGGTGAGGTTTGTGAGATTATGTGTTGTTCCCTGTAGTGTCGATAAGGACCAAGGTTAGAACCTTAGTGACATTCTGTGTAACTCTGGGGTTATTGGTGATGGACCTGATCTGTAGGTTCTGGAGTAAAATTTAGAGAACAATTGATGATAGTAATGTATACCTGTTGTAGTAGTGATAGGGTAGAAGATGGGTGAAGAGTGATAGGCTTGAATTGAGCAAGATGATGTTTCTGGACAGTGAGGGTTTGAGAGATCGCAGACACTCGCTAGCACCTTCGCTAGGCGAGCTAGTAGCGAGCATTCGCTAGGTACTCGCTAGGAGAGTTAGGTGGCAAACACTTCCAGTAGCCACTGTCTGCATTTGCTAGGGAGTTCGCTAGGCGAACAGGTAGCGAGCATTTGCTAGAGCCTCGCTCAGCGAATGAGCCAACGAGCGTGACAAAATGCGATTTTTGTGTTGTTCTTCCTTGTGCATTAGCCTTGTAGGATCCCTTTGATCACGATGAGTGTAGGGATGGTGATGGGATGATAAGAAGCGTATACTTAGTGATAGGAAGCGAATTCCTTAATACTTAATTTAAATAAATGATTAATTGGCGTGTGAATTATATGGAGCATGGTGAGGTGATCAGTAGGATCGTGTACACTCGGTGCATTGGGGTATGATTATACTTGGTGTTAGAGTGTGAACTCGCTTAATATCTAATTTAATTAATATGAATGATGGGTGGGTGATATATATTTATGATGTGTGGTGGTGTGATCAGGAGGATCGTGTAACTTTAGTTAAAATAATTGTATTGGTGTGTAATATGCATATATGATATATGGTGATGTGATCAGGAGGATCGTGTGCACTTAGTGTACTTGAATCCATTTGTTGTGCATTGATGTTGTCCATATCATGGTGTTTTGGTGGGATGAATCATTGCTCAGGTGGAGTGTATGTGATTCATCAGTACTCATTTGTGGAGAATGGTGGGGATAGATCATTGCCAAGGGAGGGTGTATGTGATCTATCATGGGTTCGATTGAATGAACCAATGAGTCGGTACCGCATGCATGGTGTTGAGTTGCATAAGTGTATTGTTATTATATGTTGTGTGGGTGGTTGGACAGTAGGTCGTGACTGGTGTTGTTTGGGTGATGATTTGTGTGTTTACTGCCTTTTATTCATGTATCTTATTACCGATAATTTTGATCATGTTTTCTCACCCCTTTGTTGTTATTTTGGTCTGTGCTTCCTCGGAAGTACAGATAATCCAGGTACATAACTAGCTTGGATAGTGGTGTGCGAGTCGAGTCTTAGGATGCTCTGATACGTAGCACGGGACTTGGGTGTTTTAGTTGCTTTTATGTTGAACATGTTTAAATCCTGTGACGTATCATGTTTGGTGACACTTATTAATATATATTTGGTGTAACTGGCGGATGGCCGAGAATGTTGAATTTGAATTATT